ACACACACACACACACACACACACATATATATATATATATATATATATATATATATATATATATATATATATATATTGATATGTATTTGGACGTCAACCATTAGTTCGACAAGGAAGATTTTAATCTCTTATTAAGTTTTCGAGCAATCTAAGCTTTTTCCGTTTTTCGAGGGTTAAGGAATATGTGAATAGCCCATAGTTACAATTGTTCCGAGCGCTTTCAGCTACTTCTCTAACCATTATCAAGGATGTGTTTTTGGATGGTGAAATTCTATGTCTGGCTGATACATAGTTGTTTTACAGTATAGTGTTCGATCGGTTTGTGTGCCCTGTGGCAGTCACGTGCTGTGTGCGGTCAGTTAACCGGGACAAGACTTCTATTTTTAGAACACGCCATATTCCTCTCCTAAATAGTTGATACTGAGAGAATAAATACACTGTGGCAATTCCAATGTCCTGTACAAGACTGTGCTACATGTCAAAATCCAGTGACCTACATCGGACACACCACTACCTCATTGAATAGACGTCTTACATGTCACCTGTCTCAGACGAGTGCAGTTAATAAACATTCATTAACTCATAACTTCCAAGAACCTTTAAGGAAAATTGTAGTTGGTAATGCAAGGATCCTTTTCCAGTCACATAGTCGTACGTTGCTCGTTATTAGGAAGGCTCTGCTTATTAAACTTTATTCTATTAAGTAAATGGCTATTAATACAACGGGTTTTTAAGATATAGGAAAAGTAAAGAAAGGAGAATCAATATGAAATGTAAACAAAATGCTTTCAATTTTAGGGAACGTGTATAGGAGAAACATGATATAGAGTCGGTTTTGTTTATTTTTAATTTCGAAGGATACAGTAAGCAACATTTCTAGCAACATCAACTTTATATAATCAATAAGCAGTCGTCTTATACTACAGGTATACGATACATTTATGAAAATTTGCTATATTATTTCACTTCGTCTTATCTAAAGATCACCTTATACCCGAAAATATACGGGGTGTGTGTGTAGACGTGTGTGTGTGTGCGCGCGTGTGTGTTCGCGCACGCGCAGTTTTTTTATCCTTTTCATTTTTGTTCACGACATATGTCGCTTTGAGTTATGGACGTTCCTTGAACTTCTTTTTTTATTAGTCACAGCTGGATCCGTCAAACTATGCTCGTCAGTTGACAGGTTGTTTTATATGAGGACGATTCAAAAGTCTTGTGGATTTTTTTTTTATACCGATTTTTATTCAGGTGATTGAGGCTAAATCTATTTTGCCTGATTTTCGGTGCTTTTCATGTCGCAGTTGAATTATAACTCAACTGACTACTTACTGTTAATATTTAACAGCACCCCCACCCTCCACGAGGGATATATGTGGCACAAGGCCGAGTTTACCGTGGGTTCTCCGTGCCTTTACGTTCGCCCAAATATATTACCTTAGAACCCGCATAAACGGGATCCGGGTCTGTCTACCTCCCCGGACGAAACTTTAGCCTTCGACAAAGCCCCGTCCGGGTTCTTGTCTGCTCAAGGCAGAGAGTTCGACAGTAACGAACTTGCTAGAGCACTGTTCTATGACCACTTACTCTTCTGAAAAACAGGATGTAATATACAGTGTAACCCGGATATAAGAGAGTTGTCGGGACCGGAGAAGAAGTCTCTTATATCCGTGTTTCTCTTATATCCGGGTTTGGTCTATTTTATATACATAAACACAGGCTCTAATTTGGGACCAGAGAAAATCTCTTATATCCGGGTTTCTCTTATATCCGGGTTACACTGTATGTATTTATGGAGGTGAGATACGCATGCGTTCTTAAAACAGAATACGACAAGAGTCTGGAACACAAACTTAACCTGAAGAAATTCGGATATTACAGTGTCGAAACGTTGCTAAAAAAATAAAAATAAGCAGAGATGAGGATATTAGTCTAAAATAATACAACAACGATATTTTGTGCGTTCTGGATATATTTTCTGGGTTTTTTTTTTGGTTTTTTTTTGTTTTTGTTTTTTATTTTCTGGTGGGATTCTCTTTCCAAAAATTTTGCACGAGTAATAATAAAAGTAAAAAAAAAACAAAAAAAAATTTTAAAAAAAAACTATGTTTTATTAGACAACCATGCTAAAATGCTAGCGAAATCTTCGAAATGTGTTTATGATCAAAAGAGACCAAATTAAAGTTATTTAGTCATATGAACTCCCGGTATGTATGGAAGAAATAGAATGCTCACAAAATACCGTCCCTATAATTAATCCTTCCAAAAATATCTTCCCTATAATTAATCCTCCCAAACATATCCTCCCTATAATTGAGCACATTATACTTTTTGATCGTGTTTCGATGCTTCTGGCCCGGGAGAACTAGTGCAATTACAGAGCATCATGGGTAAAGTGCAGTATTTGGTTATTCCGAAATCTAATATAAAGTGCAAGTAAGTTGTCTTTGGGGCATCACTGGACTTTCCAACATAACATTGACCCGAAACATACGGTATGAATTGAATATTTATTGGCTTATTTAAAGAAAGAAGTAGAAGATAGAAATCTATTTAATTTGAAGGTACTAGAATCTATTGTCAGGAATGAATGGAACAAAATACCTGTCAGTGTGTGTAGTGATCTTGTAAGGAACTATCAAAAACGGTTGCAGAGAGAATAATAGTTGTTTAGCGGCATATCGACCTGTATTGGATATTTAATGCCGAAATCTAAATATGAAGAACACAGTTTTATGGCTTCAACTATAATATATTTTGAAGGCATTTGTATGCCTTCAGCTAAATGTAAAAAATTTGTTGGTCACTTTGCTTTAAAAATTGTTGATAATTTTACCATAGATAGGTATTTTTAGTAATTTTAATATAAATAAGTATTGTTGAAAATTTTAATATTAATAGCTATTGTTGGTAATTTTAATATAAATAGCTACTGTTGGTAATTTTAATATAAATAGGTATTATTGATAATTTTAATATAATTAGGTATTGTTGACAATTTCACTATAAATAGGGATTGTTAGTAATTTTAATATAAATAGTTATTGTTGATAATTTCACTATAAAAAGGTATTGTTGGTAATTTTAATATAAATAGATTTTAAATAATTTTACTATAAATAGCTATTGTTGGTAATTTTAATATAAATAGATTTTTAAATAATTTTACTATAAATAGCTATTGTTGGTAATTTTATTATAAATAGGTATTATTGATAATTTAAATATAAATAGGTATTATTGATAATTTTGATATAAATAGGTATTCTTGATAACTTTACTATAAATAGGTATTGTTAGTAATTTTACTATAAATAGGTGTTGTTGGTAATTTTACTATAAATACGTATTGTTGAGGGATTGATTTTGTTTAGTGGAATATTAACTTCTACGAGTTATTTAATGCCTATATCTAAACTACAGATATTTTGTACATAATTTTATACTTTTACGGTAAAGGTACATTTTTTTTAGATATATGCTTTGTAAATCATGAAATGTATTGTTGGTGATTTTACTGTAAAAATTCATTTTTATATCTGTTTAGTGTTGCATTGATTGTTATTTTTCTATAAAAATGCAGTATTGACTTTTTTGGGGGGAGTTCATTATTCACCCATATCTAGAAGCCTAATTGGGTCTACCAGATTGGGCCAGGGTGGACCTGGGAATAGAAGCAATTAACAGGTGGTTCTAAATTCTTCAAAACCTCCCGATCAAAGGCATTGCTGCTGGAGGTAGTCTATCGCCATAACCAGGACGACATTATTAGGCTAAGAGGACCAATAATTTTGCCCTATGTTAAATGTTTGTTTGAGGTTTTCTGGTATTATTGTTTGACATTAAAATAAAATATTGCTTACAAATCCATCATTTCATCCTTTGTGAAAAAATATCCATAAAATTTCCAAGAAAATTTGAGAGATTCAAACTTTATTCATAACTAGCAGCAGAGCCTGGCGTTGTCCGGGGATGTAACAGTAAGAGATAGATCAAGTACCGACCATCATAAAGACTGAAAAATAAAATTGACAAAGATTATTGTTTAAGGTTGACGGACATGCATGTCTTAATTAGTTTTTTTTTTTCTTTTTGTTTTTTGTTTGTTTGTTTGTGTTTTTTTTACGAATTGGTCAAACCCAAACTCAAACAAAAACATTGTTTTCAATCGTTATGAGTCTACCGATTGAATAGAATTTTATAATAAACAATTGTCTTGTAAATGGAATTTTTAAAAGCATTCTGGATGTAAAAATAAAGAAAAAAACCACATGCCAAAAAAAAAGTGAAGTTTTGCTGAAATCGGTTGAAAAATGTAGGAAATCCGATCCCATATATAAACGAACACACACACACACACACACTCACAAACAACCTGGGTTTTATTATAAGTATAACTCGATATGAGTTGTCCCTCTTCCATTCTCGACAGCGATGCTTCTTAATCGTGTTTTCAAATTGATTTCGTGCAAAAACAATTGTGTTTTTCCAATTTTTGGTGCTGTCAGAACGACCGCAAGGTAATTTTACGTAGTCCTGTGAAGTTTTGTTGAAATCGGTTGAAAAATGTAGGAAATCCGATTCAATATATAAACGAAACACACACACACACACACACAACCTGGGTTTTATAATAAGTATGATTATGCAAAGAGGACGAATAATCCTGATGTCAACTGTATAGTCATATTTACCATATATTATTATATCTTATGTTTGGTCATTAGGTCAGATTTTATATATATAAACATTATCGGAAGAGTATCGATGAGTTTTCAGCACATATATGTATATGGGTTTGTGTGTTTCTTATTACTTCAATCTTATTTTATTGGCTCCATGTATTTGAATCGACCTCCCTGTTTATTGACGACCAGTAGAATTAAGGCCTACTGATCGATAATTGAAACGCCAGTTCTCCTACGATCACCGAAGTTAAGCAACGTCCAGCGTGGTCAGTTGCTAGATGGGGACTGTGAGATTGGATATGTAAGTGGCAAGGTTTACGACCATATCAAGACGAAACACTGGCACACGTACGATCACAGAAGTTAAGCAACCTCGAGCGTGTTCAGTATCTAGATGGGTGACGTTTTGGAAATATCAGGTACGGAAATCTTGGTAGTAAGTCGGGTGGTGCAATGGATAAAGGGTCGGTTTTGGAAATCGTAGAGCCGTTCCAATTCCAGTCGGGTTCGTTATATTTCATTTACGCATAAATACTCTTAGGAATGGTAAGAATCCAGCACTTCTCCCCGTCAGCTTTAGATTAATTAGTAAGACTATTGTCTGTAAATCCTTATCACACAAAAAAAAATTCTTAAACTTTCTAAAGTATTTTCTGGCTTTAAATAACCGGCAAAAAAAAAACGTTAAAAATAACAAATCAATTAAGATTTTCTTATATTACGCTCTTCCTCTTTTTGACATCCTTTCAGGGTTTTCGAGGTTTCTCCGAAGTTCCTATTTTTGTTGCTTGCAGCAATTCATGATTGCCTTTTCTGATCCTTATTCTTTCAACCATTTTAGTTGTTATGAAGGTCTTCGCAATATTTCTCCTGTATCTTGTGCTTTTTTTTCTTTAGGTTTCGCAAATATTTCGACTTCCATTTTAGCTTACTGCACTTCGTATTCGCAAAAGATCCCCCATCTAGGTACAGACCAGTTTTCATGTTGCTTAACTTCGTTGATCATAGGAGAACCGGCGTTTCAACATGATAGGCCGTTACCTAGTGAAGAATGCAAGCTCAATTTCAATATATATATATATATATATATATATATATATATATATATATATATATATATATATATATATATATATATATATATATATATAAGTATGATTGGGAGAGATATTAAATTAAACCCTCTCTAAACTCTAACATGTCTCTCTAACCACTCCCTTATTACCTCTCTGTTAAATTACAAAACTTACACTGCCCATCAATTTTCATTTCATTTTTCGTTTCATTTTTTGGAAGTGCTATCTGACGATCTGGCGTCCTTCAAAAGTACTCTGGTGAAATAAATTATTATAATGGAACCTTAAATTGTTCTGTTTTCTTTTAATATATATATATATATATATATATATATATATATATATATATATATGTGTGTGTATATATATGTGTGTGTGTGTGTGTGTGAGAGAGAGAGAGAGAAAAGTGTGTGTGTGTTTGTGTGGGTGTGGTTGGGTGGTACAGCTGTGTATTTGCGTGTATTTGTGTTTGTGTGTCCTTTTCACTGTTCGTGTGTGTGTGTGTGTGTAAGACAGAAAGAGAGAAAGGATGTGTGTGGAGGGTAGCTGTGTGGTCGTGTGTCACACATGACCATATGCGTATGCTGGCAGTTTCAAACACACAAGTGCTTCATCCATGCTGCGCTGTAAGTTTCGATTCTTCGTGATTTAATTGAAAAATTAAATTTGTCAAGAAAAAAACAAACTAATGTTTGCATTTGCATTATAAGTTGATATAATTACATCTTCGCGTGTCGTAATGTTCATTGGAAATAAAAATCTTAATTACTGTAATTGTCGGAAGTCTCACACTTTATGGTACACCAGGTTTATTGGCGAGCATTTACACAAGCACTCGGAAACACGCAGATAGATAGATAGATAGATAGGAAAAGACTGTGACATATATGAACAGACTAAGATAGATAGATAGATAGATAGATAGATAGATAGATAGATCGATAGATAGATAGATAGATAGATAGATAGATAGGAAAAGACTGTGACATATATGAACAGACTAAGATAGATAGATAGATAGATAGATAGGAAAAGACTGTGACATATATGAACATACTATGATAGATAGATAGATAGATAGATAGATAGATAGATAGATAGATAGATAGATAGGAAAAGACTGTGACATATATGAACAGACTAAGATAGATAGATAGATAGATAGATAGGAAAAGACTGTGACAGATATGAACATAGATAGATAGATAGATAGATAGGAAAAGACTGTGACTGATATGAACAGATTATGATAGATAGATAGATAGATAGATAGATAGATAGATAGATAGATAGCAAAAGACTGTGACAGATATGAACATAGATAGATAGATAGATAGATAGATGGATAGATAGATAGATAGATAGACTCAGACTGATACAGGTAGGCAGCTATAAATAAATGTTTATATAGATAGAATGATAGATTGATACATATGAATAAACTGATATGGATAGGGAGATATGAATAAAGTGATATAGATATTAACAGTTTTAGACGTATCTTTCAAGGGGTGTCGGTTTATCCAATGAATCATATATATGATTAAACTTTATCAACATATACAATCATTTAATGTTAAAATATTTTTGTCATTCCTACATGTCGACCTATATATATATATATATATATATATATATATATATATATATATATAATAAAAAAATAAAAAATTAAAAAAATCTTTTAGACACACTGGGTTGTAGATTAATATTCTTTCGTTTTTTTTTATTATTATTATATATATATATATATATATATATATATATATATATATATATATATATATATATATATATATATATATGAAAATTTCTCCGATTTAATCGGTAAAGAAGACAATATTTATGAATAAAAATGACAATAGGAAAACTGGTAATTGCTGACGCGTTTCGTCCAATGTGGACTTTATCAAAGCAAAATACGAAAATGAAATTAAATGAACAATGTAACTAATAAAAACAAAAACAGAATGTACCTAGCAACTGGAATGTAGAGAAACGCTATTTTCATATTTTTTTAACTGAAAAATAACGTCAGAGATTGTCACGTGTGGAGAATATTGTCATTATATCTGTGTTGATGTATTCAACCATTTTCTTTCGATTTTATGAATCTGTTGCATCTAGCGATGGATGTCGCCAATAATCGCATTAATACTTCTGATTGATTCTATGTGGGGATTATTTCTTTGGATATATATATATATATATATATATATATATATATATATATATATATATATATATATATTTTTAAAAGAGTGCTCAATACAGAGTAGAGCAAATATAATTTCTTCCAAAATATGTTATAAAATCACTACAAAAAAAATATGTTATAAAATCACTACACCAGAAGCATTGAAACAAAATGGCTATTTTCGTAGTGATTTTATAACATAAAAGACCAAGGAGGATGATATCCGGAGAGCTCAATGTAAATTCAGAGCAAGTATGTTTGAATAAAAAACAGACCACTTTAAAGTTCCATGTTATAAATTATTTCACCCCAGCCCTTTCAACGGTCTCTGGATCATCAGACTTTACTTTCATTTCAACATTTGGAAGTAAAGTCTGATGATCCAGAGCCGTTTAAAAGGGCTGTGGTGAAATAATTTATTACATGGAACCTTAAAGTGGTCTGTTTTCTATTCAAACACACACACACACACACACACACATATATATATATATATATATAAATCGTTTTACTTCAAGCAAGGTAATAATGCTATTAAGTCAATTCTTATTTTATTTTATTGGGAACGAAAGGAAATAAGAATTTAATGAAGAGAAAAGCCCGTAAACTGGGAACTGACGTTGCATAAAAACTTTTGAAGCTGGTATGAACAGATAATAGATTTCTTAGAGCTACATTTTTTCACGCGCCCTCTAATGTATCGTATTTTATATACTGTACACCCATCTTTGTTTATAATTGAAAATCCTGTCAGCGCCGCCAAGCGGTCACTGTGAGAACTAATACGGCTCGTACAGTTGAGCCCGCAAATTTTGGAATGCCTTGCTGATGATTTGGTAATATTTTGTCCTGCAGATTTTAAAAAAATTTACCGTTGCATCCGAAGTCCGTTGATAGGAGTGTCTATAGATGAGAGGTTTGTTTTATATATATATATATATATATATATATATATATATATATATATATATATATATATATATCAAAAATTATAACATAAACATGTTATAATTTTTTAATAATATTTGCTCTACTATGTACTGAGCACTCTTTTAAGAATAATGTTTTTTCTTATTTTTATTCTGTCCACTCCAGCAAATATTGTTAATTCAAAAATTATAACATGTTTATGTTACAATTTTGAATATTTACACACACACACACACACACACACACACACACACACACACACACACACACACACACACATATATATATATATATATATATATATATATTGTCTTTATGTGTTTTTATAGATATAATGTAATTAAATAAATGCTCTGTTTATAATTAAACAGTATTAATTACATTTACCGGCCAGCATGTTCGAGAAATATCGTCGAAAGTATGCGTTCTCTAATAGGAATCGAACATGAATTCCTATATGTAAACCTTCATTTAACCTGACGTGCAGTACCATTCAGCTATAGAGAAGCGTATGGTTAGAAAAGTACGAATTACTGTTTATATACACCCAATCCTTGATGATTTTTCTCGATTGATCATTTCTGTTCACGAAACGTGGCTTAATGTAAGCAATGACAACATATAATGACATGGTTGAAGTTCGACTAATATCTACTATATTTTCTGTTTATATGCTATTTTTATAGATACATTTTTAAGTAAATGCTCCGTTTTGTAATTAAATAGTATTAATTACATTTACCAGCCTGAATTTACGAGAAATTTCGAAGAAAATATACGTTTTATGTAAACTGTATCTATTACCAAATTACCAACCATCGCTTGAGGATGTACAATCATAGTATTGACACATGAAAGCTTTTTATGGGGTGATGTAAAATGTTTAGTATTATAATGAAAATATTTTAATAATATTTTGCTCTGTGACACTATTTAGCGGTCGCGTGAAAATGAAAAGCGAGAAATAATTAAGACGATGAGAAGCTATCACAAAAAGACATACTGAGCGATGTTATTTTTTTTTAACAAAGAAAAGTGGTAAAGATTTTATTTTCATTTGCGAAAAGAAAAAGTATCCTTTTTCTCACGCAGAAGATAGGAGATTCGTAAGATACCGGATCTGTCGAATTAATTTATCTTACGGCGCGGCGAAAGAAGATAGCAATCGGTCCATGGCAATAATGAAAATTTCAAATTGGGCAAGTAGCCGACGAAACAAAAGCTGGAAGATAATGATAATCAGGTCACGCGCTGACCGAGAAAACCAATTGTGAGGCCACCAAGAGAGAACGGGAAAAGAATGAACCATTAAGTATCCTTCGGAGATAACACTGGTTTGAAAAAAAAAAAAAAACACCTGTTTTATTGTCCAAACCTGGACATGATAAAAGTTTGTATCGGAAGAGATAATTACCGACAGAATGCAAATACGTCCAGTTAAACCACCCACTTGACGCTGGCGAAAATCTCGATTGATAAAGTCCAGATGACATTCGGTTGAGATAGAGATTAAGGACCACACTACGGTTCGTAGGGGTCTGTTCAAGGAAAAGAAAGAAAAGAAAAAAAAAAGAAGATAATTTTTTTTCTTTGGGAGATAATTTTAAACTGAGTCCAGACTGGCCACACCCACGCTGCAGACGTTCATTGGTTGAATGGTGGCATGAGCAATTGGCGAAGGTAACCATATGAGAAAGGAGGGGAGGCCTGTTGATGCCTCTGAGGGGATTGGTGTGAGATACCACTATAAGAAAGAAGGGAAACCTGTTGACGCCCTCTGAGGGGATTGGTATGAGATACCAATATGAGAAAGGAAGAATTTGGGAGGACGATTCCCTTAAAGTAGAAAGTAATGGACTTCCAAAAATGGAAAGTAATAAATTTTCCTGTCCGAAAACAAAGAAAATCCTTATTGTGGATTTAGAATTATCGATTGTCGACGTCCATATAAGCAGAGTCGCAGTAACACAGAAAGCAGTTGACTTGTAGTTGGAGTTGGAGTTTCAGTTGCAGGTGGAGAGAGAGACGCAGAATTGAGCTGTGAGCTCTGAGACCCGCTTCGCAGAAAGCTGACTGAGATCCACGCATTCTGACTTCAACTTCTAACCAAAAACAATTTATTTTCGAAGAACGACTTAGACTCACACCACCAAAACAAGTTTTACGAATATCGCCTGAAGACACCAAAACCAGTTTCTTGAAAAAACAATTTAAGATGTTAAGACTCGCCTAACAAACACAAAGTGTCACGAATCCATATTAGCGGTTCGGGAGAAAGAAGAAGTCCTGTATTCAGCAACCAGATATAAAATATTGTTATTCTTTTTTTTAACACATTTGAACTTCTCGAGTTGTTACTTTGTTTTCTTTTACATATACTTGTGCGGTGTTACCTTTGCTCAGACTCGGCTTACATTGCGGCCCGGCGACTGATTGAATTCGTCTACCTAAGATCAAATCACAACGTGGGTAGGTTAGACTAGAATACAAAGCAGTTACTTCGGTAACCAGACATTGGAGGCGAGCTGGGAACGACAAAGCTGATACCGAATCTAACCAGATTCCCATCCGAATCAGCCAAGGGTTAGAACGTCACATTTGGTGCCGCGACCAATACCAAGTCAGTTGGTCGTCACAGGACAGGAAGGCGACGGGGGCAGACAGGCACGGTGTGACGTCACCGATCTACTTTGCCTTGAGCACTTTTTAAAAAGGAAATGTTACGAACTGTGAATTTTTACACCATTTGTTCTCTCTCTCTATATATATATTATATATATATATATATATATATATATATATATGTGTGTGTGTGTATGTGTGTGTGTGTGTGTGTTTTTATGTGGAAGGAATCTATTTTTGTTGTTTCGAGTTTCTCTCCTCTTTCTCGCTCTCTAATGCTATACATACATACATACATACATGCATATAAAATATATATATATATTTCATCAATTCAACTAAATATGTTAGCTCTATCACTGATATTGAGCGCTTTTCAATAAGTGCATGGCGCATATATATATATATATATATACATTTTACATATATATATATATATAAATTTTACATATATATTTATATATATATACACTTTACATATATATATATATATATATATATATATATACACACATTATATATATATATATATATATATATACATATGCATGTATGTATAACATTATAGAGAGTGAGAAAGAGGAGGAGAGAAACGTGGAGCAACAAAAAAAGATAGATTTCTT